CATGCTCTTTATTCAAAGGGGTCATTTCTAATGGTTTGTTACCTAATCATTACGCCATCGGTAGTGCTCTTCGAGCTTGCCAGCAATGTGGCTCAACTAGGCTTAAACTTGGGATGGGAATTCATGCGTTTATTTGTAAATCTCCGCATGCTTCGGACATGGTTTTGTCTAATGTGCTTATGTCAATGTATTCCAATTGCTCTGATTCTGTTAGGGATGCTCGGGGTGTTTTTGATGAAATAGAGTTTAAAAGCTCTGTTACGTGGAATTCTATAATTTCAGTTTATTGTCGAAGGGGTGATGCTGTTAATGCTTTTGAGCTATTTTCTGGAATGCAGATGGAACCTGTTGAGCTTAATTTAAGGCCTAATGAATATACCTTGTGTAGTTTAGTAACTGCTGCAAGTTCTCTGGTTGACTGTGGACTGGTTTTGCTGGAGCAGATGTTGACCAGAATTGCAAAGTCCGGCTTTTTACATGATTTGTATGTTGGCAGTGCTTTGGTTAATGGGTTTGCAAGGTATGGTTTAATGGGCTGCGCTAAAATGATTTTTGAGCAGATGTATGATCGTAATGCGGTGACTATGAATGGGTTAATGGTCGGATTGGCAAAGCAGCACCAGGGTGAAGAAGCAGCAAAAGTATTTAAGGAAATGAAGGATTTAGTGGAAGTAAACTCGGAGTCTTATGTGGTTCTTTTGAGTGCTTTCACTGAATTTTCGAATATAAAGGAAGGGAAGAGAAAAGGTCAAGAGGCTCACGCATACCTGATTCGCAACGGTTTTGTTGATTCTCGGATTTTGATTGGAAATGCGCTTGTCAATATGTATGCAAAATGTAATGCCATTGATAATGCTTGCTCAATTTTTAAACTCATGCCTAGTAAAGATACTGTCTCATGGAACTCTATGATCTCTGGCCTTGACCATAATGAGCGATTTGAGGATGCAGTTACTTGTTTTCAAACAATGAGGAGAAATGGAGTGGTGCCCTCAAATTTCTCAGTTATTAGTACTTTGAGTTCGTGTTCTAGCCTGGGTTGGATAATGTTAGGACGACAAATACATGGTGAAGGGATCAAGTGGGGGATTGATTTGGATGTTTCAGTTTCAAATGCCCTCTTAACATTATATGCTGAAACTGATTCTATCAATGAATGTCAGAAAGTTTTCTTTCTAATGCCAGAATATGATCATGTTTCTTGGAATTCTTTTATCGGTGCGCTAGCAAATTATGAAGCATCAGTTTTACAGGCTGTAAAATATTTTCTGCAGATGATGCAAGCTGGATGGAGACTTAATAGAGTGACGTTTATAAATATCTTAGCAGCAGTTTCTTCTCTTTCAGTTTTAGGATTGGGCCGTCAAATCCATGCTTTAATCTTAAAATATTCGGTTGCTGATGACAATGCTATTGAGAATGCACTTCTAGCTTTCTATGGAAAGTGCGAGCAGATGGAGGACTGTGAGGTTATCTTTTCTAGAATGTCTGAGCGAAGGGATGAAGTAAGCTGGAACTCAATGATTTCTGGATACATACACAGTGGCATCCTGCACAAGGCCATGGATTTGGTATGGCTTATGATGCAAAGGGGTCAGAAATTAGATGGTTTCACATTTGCCACTGTTCTCAGTGCATGTGCTTCAGTTGCAACATTAGAACGTGGTGTGGAAGTTCATGCATGTGCTGTAAGAGCTTGTTTAGAAGCTGATGTTGTTGTTGGAAGTGCACTAGTTGACATGTATGCAAAATGCGGAAAGATAGATTACGCTTCAAGATTCTTTGAGTTGATGCCTATAAGGAACATATATTCATGGAATTCAATGATTTCAGGCTATGCACGCCATGGACATGGACAAAAAGCTCTAAAGCTTTTTACCCGAATGAAACAGCATGACCAATCACCAGATCATGTCACCTTTGTCGGAGTTCTATCGGCTTGTAGTCATGTAGGGTTAGTTGATGAAGGATTTAAGCATTTCAAATCAATGCGCGAAGTTTATGGATTGGCTCCCCGAATAGAACACTTTTCTTGCATGGTAGACCTTCTTGGAAGAGCAGGTGATGTTTATAAGATAGAGGACTTTATCAAAACAATGCCGATGGATCCTAATATCCTTATTTGGAGAACAGTTTTAGGAGCATGCTGCCGAGCTAACGGCCGTAATACAGAGCTAGGGAGGAGGGCTGCCAAGATGCTTATCGAGTTAGAGCCACAAAATGCTGCAAATTATGTGCTTCTTTCTAACATGCATGCTGCTGGTGGGAAGTGGGAAGATGTTGCAGAGGCTAGGTTGGCAATGAGAAAATCAGCAGTGAAGAAAGAAGCTGGCTGTAGTTGGGTCAACATGAAGGATGGAGTTCATTTGTTTGTAGCCGGAGATCAAACGCACCCTGAAAAAGAAAAAATCTATGAAAAGCTCAAAGAGCTAATGAACAAAATGAGGGATGCTGGATATGTGCCTGAAACCAAATATGCACTCTATGATCTTGAGCTTGAAAACAAAGAAGAACTACTCAGTTATCATAGTGAAAAACTAGCAATTGCTTTTGTTCTCACTCGCAAATCAGAACTGCCAATTAGGATCATGAAGAACCTTAGAGTTTGTGGTGACTGTCACACTGCTTTCAAGTACATATCAAAGATTGTTAATCGACAGATAATTTTACGAGATTCAAATCGGTTTCACCATTTCGAAGGTGGCATTTGTTCTTGTGGGGATTATTGGTGATAAATGCCAAACAATTAGTATATGGTTTCTTAGGACCTATCTACAGTATGGAAACATTGTCCACAGGATTCTTCACCACAATGATTATGGAGAAAAGTGGTTGAAAATTCTTAGTGCAATTTATAAGTGGTGTTAATAGGAATGAAGAGTGAAAGAAAATAGTGAGACACATATTGGGATTGTTTGGCAATATAAAACGTTATTATCAAACTAATTTCTTTTATACTCACTATGTGTCATAAGGTTAGTGATTTATTTGAAATAAACGAGTCTCTTAAGATGAATGATCAATTTTAATTTTTAATACATTTTTTTAAAATTTTATTTTCTAATTAATATTATTTTTATCATTTTCAATATATGATAAAATTATTTTAGTAAAAATATTATTATCTCTTAGCATATCGTCGAAGTTTGTTCACATGTTGTAGTTGAAGTATGCTAGGAGTGTTAGCATGTCAAGTTGGACTGTGTGCAAAAGTCCATTAGGTTAATATGTTATTTTTCTTATAAATAACATGATAATCTTTCATCTTTGGTGAGTGGTACAAATCCTAATTAGGGTGAGAGAGGTTATTTGCTATTTTGTAACACTTGTAATCTTGTTTTAAAGAGAAAGTAAAGAATAGCAGTTTATAACCAATTTCATTGTGTTCTTATTGTTTCCCTTTTTTTCTTACCCTTGTTGATCAAGAAACCGATTATACTTTGTTATTCCGATATCGTTTTTCACAATAGCACTTATGGCCAAATTCGAACTCATTAAAACGGAAGAGGCTTTAAGTGATCCAAAGTGGATTTGTACTATGAAGGAAGAGTTGAAATCTATTGAGAAGAACAATACTTGAGAGTTAGTTAATCTACCGAATGGGAAGACTACAATTGGTGTGAGATGGATGTTCAAAGTGAAATCAAATTCCAAGTGTGAAATAATCAAGCATAAGGCTCGATTAGTTGCAAAGGAAATCTGACAAAGATAAGGGATATACTTTGAAGAGGTATTCACTCTGGTGGCTAGGATTTAAACCATAAGGCTAATTATTGGTATTGCAAATAACAACAATTAACACATCTACCAAATGGACGTCAAATATGCATTTTTGAACGAACCACTTGAAGAAGAGGTGTATGTAGAACAATCCCTTGGGTTTGTTGTGAGAAACCCAGAGTTAAAGTTCTACAAGTTAAAGAAAGCGTTATATGGATTGAAGCAGGCTCAAATAGCTTGGATCAAAAGAATGGATGGTTTCCTAAATGAGGTTGACTTTAAGAAATGTGTATCCGAGCATGGCGTGTATGTGAAGAAGGATACAAGTGAATGAGTAATTATCCTTTGTCTATATGTAGATGACTTGTTGATAACAAGCAGTAACAGAAAGTGCATTTCTAAGTTCAAGAGTAAACTTATGAAAGAATTTGAAATGACTGACCTTGGCCTCATGACATACTTTCTTGGCATATAGTTCCACAAGTCCAAAAGGGGATTGTTCATGCACCAAAGAAGGTATACACTTGAGATATTGAAGAAGTTTGAAATGGTGCATCGTAATGTTGTCATTACTCTGGTAAAACCGAGACTACAGTTGTCAAAGAATGAGAATGAGTAAGATGTTGATCTAAATTAGCATAGAAGACTGATTGAATCTTTGTATTATTTACTTATGTGACATGTATCTCAAATCATTATGTAATATCATCATCATTGTTAATAAAAATTTATTTCTCACCCTTAATTATCTCTCTTTCTTTTAATTCTTTTTTTCCTCTTCACACTCTAATTTTTCTCTATTATTTATCAATCTTATAATTTTAAATTCCAACCCATTTCGTATTTCGACAAAACTTTAATACTCCTCGGATCTTAAAAAATTGTTCATAAACATACTTCAATGGTCATTAGTGACGATTAATGCGTGAAATTTTTGGTTGGACATACGCAAATAATTTTGAATGTTATGTTTCGCTTTGCTATCTGCCTTGATTGCAACATGATTTTACATCAAGGTTTATTTTTGGATTATAAGCAAATTAATTAGGATACTATTTTAATGTGTTGTCTTTGTCTTTCATTGAAAGATATAAATAAATAAATAAATAACAAATACTAGCATTTAATATGTTATATTATTTGTGATTGGACCACATTCTTCATAAAATAAAACACAACATATATTTTGAGTTTGACATAGTCATGTAAAAAAGTTAAATATTTAATTCCTACAAGCCAAAGTGAAAAATCTTAGAAAGTTAATAATCAATTAATTACTACTAATTAACAAGCACAAGTGAATTCTGATTGTGATGATTATTAAAATAATGACTCTTCTCAACATATGAGTCTGAACAGAACGTAGCTTTCATCTTTTTTATAAAATCTTCACATTTCTTGTTCAATTCATCTGTCTCATCTTCATCAATTATCATAACAGCATTTTCTTCTTCTTCTTCTTCAGCTTCTTCAGCTTCTGAAATGACGTTTTCTTGTTCCACTATCATCCAACTCTTTTCTTCCTCATTTTCTTTTGGTGCTTCAGTTTCCAAAATGTTATAACTATCAATTGATTCTGTAACTTGTGGTTCTGATATGTAAAACTCGAAGCGGTTACTCTTGTCGCTGTCATGAGTGTTTGATGAAGAAGTATTGAATATAGTAGAACATAATGCAATGAAAGCAAGAAGGGTATTGGATAGAAGAAACACGTAACACTTGTCAATGGTGTAGAAGATATAGTAGTATTGCATTAGGAATGGGTTTAAGGACTGAAAAAGTAGAGAAAAGAGAAGACAGAAAAGAGAAAAAGAAAGAAGAAACTTGAAATTGCGTGAATGAAACAAATTGAAAGAGTCCATATGTCTTGTGTTTGTTGAAGCATATGAGATGTTAGTGTAGTATATATAGAGACATGGTGTGAAAGGGAGAAGAGATATAGAAATTTCATGGAAAATGACTTTGATTGGGGGGACAGTATCCCAAGTCAGTCAACTAGCTATTGTGTTCATGAAAAATAACTTCATTACTTTTAAAACAATCATTTAAAAATCTTCTTGTTTTCTCTTTTTTAAATGGTCTAAAAATAATATAAAATAATTTTGTAGCGTTATTTAATGAACGACGTATATTCCGTTAAATCATTCTGATATTTAAAATCAACTTGAATGACTCAGCAAATTGAAATTTTTTATTGGACGATTATGTTTAAAAAAAATTGATGAGAAAACATTTATATTGTGTCAAAGACTCCTGTTATATTATATCATATAACATATATTCACTTAAATCTTAAGTTTATAAATGTATGAGTGATTCTGCCTATAAAATGTTCAACTATGATTTTTCCAAAGAATATAAAACTTACACAATTCACACTTATTTATTTCTTGAACATCTATCTCCTTGTAAGAAATGTTATATGACATTTATATGACATTTATAAATCATCTCACCTAGTTTTAATCTGAGTCCAACATATAACTTTGCAATAATTTGTAAAGGAAGCCAATTAAATATATGAGCACATACTTATTGAGCATTGCTATTTGATCTGACCTGATCAGAAGGGGATCGCTGGCTGACCAGACTCTGTGGGACTGCTATCTGTTCACCGATGATGAGGAGGAGGAGGGGGGTGTACCTGCAAGGCACTCCAATGCCAAAGTAAGTCTATGGGCAGAGTGATCACAAGTACAGAAAAAGGGGTAAGAAGTGAATCACCTGACCCTCTTGTGGAAAAGGGTATTTATAGAGAGACCTCAGCGCTGGGCCAACGGTCACTTGCGTTGGGCTGGATTGTCAGGCCCAACCCAGGTGACTGTTAGGGCTTATGTGGCGTAGTGAAGACCAGGACGTGGTCTTCGCCCTAGTCCAACTGTCCCGTGATCTTCGGAAAGTGGGTTTGATCTGCTCTTTCGGAGGTGGGCAGTTGGTCGGTGACGTGTCTCCACGGAGGGGGGCACGTGGAGAACGTGTGAAGGACATGTTGTTTTGCCCGACAAGGAGAAGGTCCTACCCGCGGAGGGCAAGGTCCTGCCCGCAGAGGGGGAAGGGTCTTCCCGCAGAGGGATAAGGTACTGCCTGCAGAGGGGGAGAAAGTCCTGCCCGTAGAGGGTAAGGTCCTGCCCGCGGAGGGGGAGAAGGTCCTGCCCGCGGAGGGTAAGGTCCTGCCCGCGGAGGGGTAAGGTCTTGCCCACGGAGGGGTAAGGTCCTGCCCGTGGAGGGAGAGAAGGTCCTGCCCGCGGAGGGAGAGAAGGTCTGGCCCGCGGAGGGAGAGAAGGTCTGGCCCGCGAAGGGTAAGGTCCTGCCTGCGGAGGGGGAGAAGGTCTTGCCCGCGGAGGGGAGGTTCTGCCCGACGAGGGCAGTGTCTGGTCGACTTGAGTCTTGTGCTTGACACAGATGAGGATGGCTTCTTTGGGCCTTCTCCCAAGTGTATGTGGGATGGGCCTTCCCGGTCAGGTCGGGGCCCAGCCCAGAACACTATTCTTTCATGATAGTGTACATTAAATACTGTTTATCGTATTTATATGATAAATAGTGTTTTAAAATTTTTATAAATTAAAGAATAATGTTTATAAAAAATATTTTTATTTTTAAAATTATTTTTATAACATAAATATAAAATTTGTGATTAATCAATTTTATTATTATATTAACCAAAAAAACATAGGTTATTAATTACTTATTTTACTTATAATTTATTAATCAAATTTATTACTTCATTAACTAATAAATACTTAACATTAACTAAATTGTGACATTAAAATATAAAATATAATAATCAATTTTTACACTCTATTAATCAAGTTCTGATATTAAATTATGAAATATATGAAATAAAATAAATAAAATTGGTTAATAGAGTGTAAAAACTGATTATTATATTTTATATTTTAAAGTCAGAATTTAATTAATGTTATATAATTTATTGGTTAATAAAAGTAGTAAAATCAATTAATAAATTATAAATAAAATATGTAGTTAATAATCTATATTTTTGTGGTTAATACAATACTAAAATTAGTTAATGAAATTGATTAATGTAAAATTTTATATTTATGTTACAAAAAGTAAAAATATTGTTTTATAAATATTCATTTTTATTTATAAAAAAATAAAAATATTGTTTAATGTATAAATACAATGAACATATTTGAGGTAAATATTTAATGTAAAAATTGGTGTAAAAATAATATTATTCATTATATTCTCGTGGATGTTTGATTTTAGAGATCAATGTTAGAAACTCATTTAAAAATTTAATGATGTTCTCCTTCATGATCTTCCAACTATTCTTCAAAAAGTTAAAATTGTATCTTAGGACTTTTGCTTCCTTCGCAGTTATCTCATTTAATCGCTTATAAGACTAATTCAGGATTAGTACTTGGAGGAAAGGATTTTTCCACAAGTCAAGTCCTATGTTTTTTTTAGTAGAATGACTAGACTAAACAAAAATGTCGTTATATGTTTATTATTATCATCGCTTTCTTTGTCTTGGAAAGACTTGACTTGTGAAAGATAAATCCAAGCCTACTTTTTTGAATAGTTGAATTTAACTTAACTCATTCAGAAAAGCTAGTTCCCTTAAAAATCAAATGGGTAATTTTTTGTTGGATAGAGAAGACCTTGACCTTTGAGTCAACTATGAAATTTCTACTTGTCTTTTATGCACCGGTCACTCACTTTGTATAGTTTAGTTTATTTGTAGACAAGTTTAAATTAGTTACATTTCACCATTTTTAAAGTGACCTCCACCATTTTTAAAGAGTAAATGCTCAGCTATTAGATTAATATTGGCCAATACAATATGAGTTTTTTTATAATAAAATTGGAATTTGATATTTTTTTTTCTCCATCTCATTTGTTTGGTTGGAACAAATTCTCCGATGAGTTTATTTCTCGTCGAGTAGAGTCCTGTTTGACAGTTACTCTTCAATTTATTCTTGAATTGAGCTTTGTCCCCTGCAATAATTTTTTGCTTTTTCAGGTTAAAAACATAGATGACAATTTTTTTTGGATCTAATTCCCCAACAATTATCGCTTCAGTAATCTCTATGGGATTTTGTTCAACAACAAGTGACAATCTCTTTATTTGAGAAGCTTGTATGTTCCTGACATATCAATCCTTATTTCCACAACAAGTGGGAATCTCTTTAGTCAATCCCCGACAGAGAAGCTCGTTGTGATTCAACAAATCAAAGTTAACACAAGTTCGTTTTCTAACAGGTGGTTGTCTCTTTATTTGATAAGCCTGTTGTGATCCCCAATCAGAGTTAAAACTTAAATCTCAAGCAAGTGAATACCGTTCTAGGTTGAAGACCTGAAGTCATGGGAAGTTTGTTACCCTTTTCAGGTGGAATACTTGGTTAAAGAAGAAACTGAGATCCGTTCTAGGTTAAAGAATGGAAGTCAAGGGAAGTTCGTTACCCTTTCCAGGTGGAATACTTGGTCAAAGAAGAAGTTGAGCTTTGTTCCAGGTGGAAGATCAGAAGTTATGGGAAGCTTGTTATCAATTCACATCTTGTCACTGCCTTCGTCTATGAGTTGGTAGTATACTGTTATCTATGATTCAGTATTACCTGTTTCTTTATCGTCATCTATGAGTCGGTATTACCTATTTTTTTACCGTCATCCATGAGTCGGTATTACATGTTTCTTTACCATCATCTATGAGTAAGTGTTATCCTGTTTACTTCCTTCAACTAATAGTTGGGAGTATGACCAAATCCTATTTACTACCTTCGACTCTGAGTTGGTAGTAGTTTCTTTTCTAACTAACTACTCAGGGTGGATTCCCTAGTAAGCTCAGTGATTTTTCCTTACTACATATTCCCTAGTGGAGTCTTCCATTGCCACTTAGTATCTTTTTCACTTATGGCTATACTTTGGGTTATTCCTTAGTATAGGCCCTCGTGATGTTCTGTCGTTCCCTAGTGAGTTATGTCTCCCTGTCAAACACCCTTCGAGTTTTTCTCCAACAGTATCAGAGTCGTAGTTCATTTATGCAGTGTTTGTCTCCCACAACGTATTTCTCACGGAGTCCAATCATTTCCTTCATAAGAATCGTGCGACATGTTAGGGCTAAGAACCGGGTCTTTTGTATTTAAGTATCTTCAATCCCGTTGATACAAAGATTTCCAATCTTCATATCTCCGGATAGAAGAAACTTAAGTAGGGGCAGCCTTCATACCCTAATTTTATCCCTAAGATTACACCTATCATATCATTTGTATTTCAACCAAGATCACAAGCATGATATCCTCATAACCTTCACCTCTTTGGGGTTGCCTTTATGGGAGATCACCAAGCACCTGTTTGTTTCTTTTTACCTATATTACTTGCTTACCTTCTAACTTTGCTAACATTATTCAAAATACAAAAATATGTGTTGTTTCCTTTTCTTATTATACAAGATAGAGACTTGCAATCAAAGGATCAAGCTTGGTTTCTAAATTAGGGTTTTGATTCTCAAATTCAAGGTTTTGGTCAACAAGTGGTCCGCAAGAGCTTTTACTTCAAGGCGTGGCCTATAATATTAGGTCACATTCATGTCAAGCTTCATTTAACTTCATTTGATCAAGATAAGTTCAAGTTGGTGCATTATTTCAAAGTTGATTCAAGTATGGTCCATGTGTTTATTTCCATGCTATATCCATCCAACTGTCAAACAATTATCAAGATTATTCAAAGGATAATCAAGTTTCCTTCATTTGGTATTCAGGTGTTCATCATTGGGTCTTTGGATGCAAGAAATAGCAAGAAATATCAAATTGGCACATGTTTGGTTGACCTAAAGTTAAGTATGGCATGTCACTTGGCCGAAACACCATAACTCTCTCATTTCTCAACATTTTTGAAA